TCTTTCCCTCGCGCCACGATAACTAACAAACGCAACCACGTGTGTTAACAGATAGTACACGCAAACGTAGCGAGAGGACAGCTCGTGGTTCCTAGAGAGGTTAGATACGTCAAAACTGTCGCTTTGTGTCATTCGTCATGTACGACGAACGGGCGGACACGGTGTACGGTGGCTGGCAACCATAAGCCATACGGCTCTCGTCGTGCTCATCCTCGTTGTTCACCATCTCCCTCGGTTCCCCTTCGTTTCTCTCTATCTGACGTCCCTCGGCTCTCGTTCTCTCTAACCGCGTCTCCGTCTATCTCTCCGGGTATGCATTTCACATGGCATTCGGCTGGCTTCTGCCCTTCTCCAGGCTTCTCCCGTTCTCTCTCCGACTCCCGATTCTCCGTCTCTCGCTCTATCTCTCCATTGTTCATAATTATACAATACGGCTATTAAACAGACTGATGCGACCGCTACTTCCGGCCCTGGCTGCGCCATTTACGGAAACCACGGGACGAGCACGAGCCTCCCTTCACTCTCTGCCTCTCGTTCTATCTCCTGCTCCCTCTTTCTCTTCGTCGCTCTCTTATCCTCTCTCTCTCTCCCCCTTCGTGGAAAACTCTCACCCGCGTCGTCACTCTGATTTCGTGCTCATCGCCCGCTATCCTTTTGCGCTTTCGTATTTATGTTTCCTCCGTTGCCCCCCCCCCTCACCCCCGTCTCGTCGAGATCTCTATTTTTTCCGGTACATACCGCGTTTGGTCAACCATGATGCACGCCCGTGCCTCCTGTCCGACCATAGCTAGCCTTTGTTTTCTATCAACGGTTAAACGCCGCGTATATACGCGCTCGCCGCGCTAAATTATTCTTTCGCTACGTGGCACTTTCGCTCTTTTTCCCCCCAGAAAATTCTATGCTCTATATGGCGCTTCTATCCTCGTTCCCTCGTGCCACGAATTGGTATTACCGTTTGCTCGTTCCGCTTTTATCTCGTTCCCCCCCCCCCCGTTTACACGTTAGCAGATCTCCGACGTACAGAGTACAGGCTCTCGTCATCGACGGACGACGAAAAGGCATTCGTCTATGCTCGCGTATCGATATTTCGTTCGTGACACGCACCGCGCCGCCGCTTTCTTCGGGACAGACATTAAGCACTAACTTGTTTAATGCGATTTGAATGGGCGTGCTTTCGATGCACACAACGGGTAACCGACGGGTGCCCTCCACCCGTAGAGAGAGAACAAGTTCGTTTTAATGGGTGAAAGGCGGGCACCGAGCTGACGGTCCAATGGATCGAGAGACCCATGGTGTACGCCTCTGTGGGTGCGATTACGCCTGTTCCTGTGTGCGTTTCTGTATATATTTACCGGCCGCAGGCGCGGGTGTACGCGTCACCGTGGCGCGTGTGTCCGTGAACACGTCCAAACGCCGTCTTTCCTACGTCGGATCGTGCGAAAAGAGGGATCCTCCGGGGACGCGGCGACATTCGCCGAACGTCGTCGCACCCTCTGTCAGAGAACCGGAGGAAAGGGAACTGGCGCGTTGTTTTTGGCAAAAGTCGTGGATTTTTGCGGACAAACGGTGAGATCGGAGGCTTCCACGGTGGAAAAGAATTTTTTCCCCCCATCTTGGAGCGTTGCTTCGCGTCGCGCAGCATCGGCCGCCGCCAAAGATTAGGCGCATAAAACGGATCGACCGGGAAAAACATAGTGACGAACGTGAAATTCGGCACGGCAGTTGGCCGAAATTCTCTGGCACGCCAGCGGACCGGGGGGTGTATTCCAGCCTTTTAATGCGAGTCCGCTTTTTTGTCGATTTTCGATTACCTCGCTCTGTCCTCGCCACATGTCGTTTACGTCGAATTACCGAAAATTGCGGGTTAGCCCTAATGCGACGATTAAGGAGCGTCTCTGCGTTTTCAGGCCCGACGGGGAGCCGGCAAAGAAGCAGAAGCGTCAAGGTGACGAACCGAAGATGGGGTTGCTGAAGAGAGTCAGAATGCTTAACACCTCCGAGTACGACAGCGGCCTCGAGCCCGTGAAGAAGCCAAAGAAATCCTGAGCTTCGCATTATCGCCTCGACTACTAGTAAACAGAATGCGATTTCGTTACCGTGATTCCCACCTCTCGTGTAAATACCCACCCTTCTTTTAAGCGTACGGTTAACCGGAAAATCAGGTTACCGGCGTTTTCGCGAATCCATCGAAGCTTACCTATTCCTATCGCTCGGTGTACGTGTATGCACACCTGGTTGCACGGATCGCTCGTTTTCTACATAATCTCGCGTGTATATATATATATATATAT